TCATTTAAATCACGGAAAAATGTGGATTTGGGGTTACTTTTTTAACTGAAAATTGGGGATTTTTTAAATCAGAGAAAACAAAGATCTCTGGTTATTTATGTGCTTGCTTGTCTGCAGTGTGTGGATTAGTTAAGGGTTGGGTCCTGACTTGGATTTGAACTCTGGTGAACATGAGAAGTTTAAGCACAGGATTGTCCAACTTTTTAGGGATAGGATTAGCATGTAATTTATTTGGTGTGTGTTTTGATGTTACCTCCTTGTATTAGTCACTCAAGACAAGATACAGGATCAACTACAAGAGCCTGCCAAGGGGAATATCTTTTAGGTTTAGTCATTGGAGACCAGTGTTTGGTTTTGTCTTTTTTTCTGGAGCAATGTGTCTAGAGTTTTAATCCTGCCTCAAGGGGTGTTGGTATATGATTGTTATCTTTTTTTCATTTCTGTTGCCTTCAGCATATTTTTTCTCATTACAAATGCAAACGTTACATGGCCTTTGGTTGCTCTGACTTACTGTATTGTTGGTGGAGAATTGTAGGAATGCACTTGCCATTCCTTTTAATAGAGAAAGGCCAGTGTTGTCTGTCTGCTTTTTGGGGGCTGAGGCAAAGAGCAGAGTAGAACTTGCTTAATGACTCAAATGGCAAGATGTGAGTGGTATCTCGTTGTACCCATGAAAAGAAAGATTATTTTGCAAAGAATGTATATTTATAGCAATTGTAGCTTACCAGTTAGTTTTGAACATTAAAGGTAGCTGTTGTACACTGAGAACTGGTAGAGCAGTATGTCCAGTGAGATCTTTGAACTGTCTTTTTGTGATCATTTGATGATGCTGATCTTTGTTAAATTCTTTGAGGTTTTTTGCTAACAAGCATTTTATTGTTGATAGGTACTGTTAATATTAGCTACAGCATCACTCACTTGATGTCTGCTTAGATATTTGAATAGTGGTTTCTCCCTTTGCCTGTCTTTAACTGCCATTCACTGTTTGGCATTTACATATTTAGTGTACAGTGATATAGCAGTACTTTCACACCTTGCTTTTAAAATATTGAGTCTCTGTAATGATACCGTGTCAATTTGTAATTGCTTTTCTTGCAGGTTTTTAAACCATTGTTTTACTTAAATGCACATGCTTGTGTTTAAAAACAGATCCCAAACTCATTTTTATAGTGTTCCAGACCCTGTGGATACTCTGAAATTAAAATTGATTTAATTTTGAATCAGCAAGGAATTGTTATAAATCAGTATAAGCCAAGGTTAAATTGATTTGCGTGTCCACACAGGGTTTCATGCTGCTTTGACTAAATCAATTTAAAAAAGTGACCTTAGCTAAGTTGATGCAATTTGTATATAAACTGGGTTTATAAACCAGGATGAGGAAAACACTGCCATATTCCTCCCATTTGGAAAACGAAATTCCTTTCAATCCATTTGGGCAGGAGATCAATGTGTGACTTGATTAACATAGCAGCGTGCTGCAGATATATGGAGATGTGCTACATTTTAAAATCTATATTTGTATTTTAAAAATTCCCATTGGTTCAATCTTTGTCCATGCCTATGGCAACACAAGTATAATAAACTGCAACTACTTGTTTGCAGTAATAGGCAGTGGCTGGGTTAATAATCCCTTAGTGCAATAGGCTAAAGTTGTTCTCTTTTTCTTACCTTGTCCAAGATGAGCAAATTCTTGATAGCCTCAACAAAAGCAGCACCTTCCTGGTAGAGAATCGGTGCTAGGATGCAGCCCATGAACTCTGCTCCATGAGTAAACAGGGCTATTTTGGCTGTCAAGTACACTTCTGGATTCCCCTGTTTACTTTTTCCCTAATTCAGAGTAGCTTGAAAGGCCATACTGGCTGCCAAAGTCAGAAGCACTGATCAGGTTTAGGCGTCTTAAATGGAAGATTTAAATGATACTGCTGCTGTGATTCACAATGCAGCCAGAAGTACTGGGAACCGAGTCAAGCCTGTAGGTGCAGCCAGCTCTGCAGCCCGGCCCTCCTCCTCCTCAGATCCTTTTTGTGAACAAACGCGGTCTGCACCCCGCAGATTATCTGATCCTGGTGACAGCTTTAGAACCTGTTTGGCTGCACTGAGGTGAACTTGGAGCAAAGGGCCGGCAAACCATGGAGGCACGTTTCCAGAGCCATCAAGCCCAGAGAGGTACATTGGAAAAGAAGTGTGTTTTTTCTCCGCAACAGAGCTGTCCAACTGGTGACCTGCAGGCTTCACGTGGCCTCTAGAGGATTAGCACATAGTCCACGGGCTCCTACCCCATTGCACCCCCCCACCCAGTTGCTGCTGCTGCTGCTGTGGCCTGGTTCTTCAGGCTTCCCCCATCCCTGGCTTCTCCTTCCTGCCCCTGCTTCTGGGTGCAGGCTGGCTTCAGGGAAGGGAGCTGAAGCACTGCACATAGCATCAGGAGGGGGAAGGGGGGGAGCTGTGCTGTAGAGGTTGGGGGAGAGGGCTGTCCACATGGCAAGCATGGCTGGGAGTGGGGAGCTGGGCTGCTTCTGTGTTGGGAGCAGTTGTGGGGTGGTGGAGGCTGCCCACATGGCTGGTACACCTTGCAGTCCCCAGGTCCGTGACCTGAGCTGTCCAGTTGAACAGCCCTGCCCCAGAACATCAGTTTCTTCTTTCTGAAGATCCACTAGACATGCTGGTCAAGCTTTCCTACTGTGTAAAGACTGCTGGGATGTGGATGGGCTTTTGCAGGTGTTACCTGTTTGATATCTAGATATTTCAGTCCTCGCTGCACCGGGATGCAGTACTACATGCAGACAAGAAGAGCTATGATTCTATAGTGGGAACAGTATTGAGCTGTCTGTTAGAAACCCAAGCCTGCCAGAAATGAAAAATTATTTGGCCTGTTAAACCACTTCCATTCCTTTGCCTAAGAAGCTCCCTTTCCTCCCGAAAGTATAAAGAATTTAATACCATTGCAGAATTCCCTAATAACAATGAACACTTGATATTATCTATAAGGAGTTAGCAAATTAATTTCTATGTTAACTGCTGTTAATGCAATGAAAACTGATCATTGGAAGAGATCATCAAGGAGAACCATCGATTCACCATAACTTGAAGTCTTTAAATAAAAAGACGAGCATCTTTCTGAAAGAGAGGCTGTACTTCAGCTGTCACTTTTTTGGGTTAGATACTGGAATTTGTCTCATTGAAATTAGCAGCTGTTGCTATGCAGAAGGTCAGGCAACATGATCATAATGGGCCCCTTCAGGTTTAAAATGTCAGTAATCAAGACTAATGTTATCTGTGTATACCCTCTCGCAGTAAAGCCTGTTTGCTTGATAATTTAATAAAGCTTATTTTAAAAAAACCCCATTTAAAATGGTTGG